GGAGATTCCCTGGAGAACTTCTTCATGGTGGGAGCTCCTTCAAGAGGGCCTTGGGTATCAGAGCAAACTGAACCAAGGTGAAAGAGACTGATTTGAAGACTTTGAGAACTGACTGAAAGCAACAGATTCCTACTCAAGCCGGTCGATTTGGGTAGACCAACTGGTTCCCTGCACAGCAAGCGTACACATGCACATTGCTGCCTGGTGGGTTTGCACAGTCAGGCCCCGCCGCGGGGGAGGGCTGTGAGAGCTGACAGGAAAGGGGTGAGAAAGTGAGGAGTGACTTGTCCATTTGCTAATCACAGGCCCTTCCTTGCTCTCAGATTCCGGAACTCTGGAAAAATTCCAGGAGACGGTGAGCAAATTGTTCAAGGTCAAACAGGGGAGCCAACAGCACACGATGAGTGTCCAGGGTGCCTCTGGACTTTTGGAAGCCAGCCTTTCTGTAGGCACCGGAAGCAGGTAGTGTAGGTTTTAGCTCCCTCAAAAAGATTTCCCTTCCAAAACGCAGCCTGGTTGGGAATCACAGGAGAGAAAATGGGATCAGTGCTGAAGATGGAAGGAAGCCTGGTTCGGGGAGGGGGGGGGGGCTTCATAAGTGTTATTTTGTGAAAGAATTGTATTAAACAGATTCCATCCTGACTATCATCATATTTTCACATTGCCACCTTCCCCCTCTCCAATTACCCTTCTTTAGCCCACCCCACTTCCAACAGAGTGTTTCCTTCCTGCCTGTTCCATCAAGCAGCAGAACTGGCTTTCCCGTTAGTCCCGCCTCCTGCACTGAGCCATCTGGGCCTTCACATCTTACTGTCTTTCTTTCTTATAACATTTTGTCTGTTCATTATTATTTATTATTACTACTACTACCACTGTTATTATTATCGGAATTGGGAATTGAACCCGAGGCCTGACTTACATCGGGCAAATGCTCTACAGGACACCCGCACCCCCAACCTTTTTGAGACAGGCATCCCGTTCATTTGTCCTTACTGGCCTGGAACTTGTGATCATGCTGCCACAGATATCAGGGATTACAGGTGTGCACCGAACACCAGTCCACTCTTACATCAACAACAGCAACAGCAGCAACAACAAAACAAAAACAAAAACAACCGAACGCTCAGCTCTGCGCAGTGTCTCCGCCGGACGCCAGGGGTCGCCATCGGGCAGGCAGAGCCTCCTCTGCAGGGCACAGGGCGGCTTGCCAGGACTGTGAAGCCAAGCCCTGTGTATATCACCGCACCACATGAATCAGGCGTAGCCTCTGCAGTGCGTTCGAAGGGGAGTTAGGAGCCAGGGCTGGGAAGGAGATTTCTCAAGTGGCTAAGCCAAGGCTCTTCACCTCTTCTAGCTTAGACAGTGCATCCAGGACAGGGCGCTGGCCCAGGGTCCTGCCTGGCTCTCAGGGTTGTCTGCAATTCACACAGGGCCCGTAAGTCCTGAGGGGATGGGTATCTGCTGGGCCATCTCCTTCCTCCTTTTGCATGCTTCACTCAGAAAAGCCAGGTCCTCAGAAGCAAGTGTGGCTCTTTTGCACACACAGGGGGAAATAATCACCATTCCTGGTGATTGCTCAGCTGCCCTCAGACCCTGGGATGGGCCTCCCATGATCTTTGCACATGCCAGAAAGCCAGGCCTTTGCCAGGCTCCTATCAGATGGGCTCTGCAGGAGACAAACTGCACCGTGTTCCCTGGTGCATGAATTTTTCAACCTTACATTTTCATCTCTCTGCCCTATTTCTTTCACTCTCCTTGCATTGCTTTCCTGAGATGGTGCTGCTACTTAAGATTTGATGCAGTTACTGGGCACACATCTAAGATGAAGGCACTGAGGAAGACGGGGGAGGAGTAGCAGGGGAGAAGGCTGAGGGCAGTGCCAGCCTGGGATCCTTCAGACTCTGGAGAAGCTGGGGGCTCGTCTGGGGTCGAGGTACCTCCACTTACGGACTACTTACTTCCTCTTTTCTCTTCCTGTTTTCATTCTTTGCTTCTTCTTTACAGACAGACACAGCACAGGTGTAGAACACGAACACACAGGGCATGTTTACCATATAAGACAACTTCACTGTCTCACAGTGTGTTTTGAAGAAAGTAGGCACTAGGCAGGAGAAGTGAATTTACTGGAAGGAGCCAGTAGGTGGAGAAGAGGGAGCTGACTTGAACTTCTCCAAGAGGGAAGGCAGTTGGGCAGAGGAGTCTGAAGAAAGGCATAAAAGTGAGTTTTCAGACCCTTTGGAGGGGGTAAAGAATGGGCTGAAAGAACTTAGTGAAAGGTAGAGGAAGGAAGAAGGGGGTCGTTGGGTCTAAGCATGCAAAGGTGGGACTAGGAAGAGGAAGCCTTTGGATGCCTGCGTGAGGGACTGGAGTGTTGACCTTATTAGGATTCTCTAGAGTAGCAGAGCTTATAGAATGAATTTCTTATGTATAGAAAAGGGGTTTATGGCTTACAGGCTGTGAGTCCAGCTAGTCCAACAATGGCTACCTATGAATGGAAGTTTCAAGAGTCCAGTAGTCATTCAGTCCAAGAGTCTGGATGTCTCGGGTGGTCTTCGGTATACACCAGAAGCTCTAATGTGGTCATCTCAACCTGTGGGTTTTGGCAAACGTCTATCTCCAAAAATATTTACATTATGGTTATAACAGTAGCAAAATTACCGCTACAAAGTAGCAATAAAAGTAATTTTATGGTTGGGGGTCACCACATGAGGAACTGACTGTTTTAAAGGGCTGTGAGGAAGGTTGAGAGCCACTGCTCTAATCCCAATGAAGGAATGGGCTTGCTAGCAAGATAAGAACAAGAAGGCAAGTGAAAGCTTCCTTCTTCTGTGTCTGCCTGCAGACTTCTAGCAGAAATTGTGGTCCAGATTAGAGGGGGGTTTTCCCAGCCCAAAAGATCTGGATTAAAGGTGAGTCTTCCTACCTCAAGGATCCAGATTAGAAGTAGATCTTCCCATTTCAGATTAAGCAAAAATCTCTCACAGGTGTGCCCTCCATTTTTTGATTATAGTTAATTCCAGATGTAGTCAAGTTGACCACCAAGGACAGCCATTGCAGCCTCCATAGGTAGAGGTTCAGATGAGGGTTCCATGACAAGCTTGTTTATAGTCTAGGAGCATCCCTCCAAGGGATGAGTAGCCGGAGAACTATGGGGCTGGGCTGTGACCTTCATGGGAAGTCTTTCAGGAAATCACTATGTGATAAAAAGGGGACTCGTGTGTACTTGCTTCTTGCAGTTAATCCCTCACTTCCAATATACTCTAGCATCTCCCATGATCACTAGCTCTGAAGCATAGGAAGGAATGATGTGTACAATTCCAGGGTCTAACGACCCTCCCCTTGTCCTAAGGAGTGTCAGCAGCCCAGTTACCTTTACTCTAAGCCTAGCTACCTCTGTGTTGTTTTTCTTTATTGGTTCCATGATTACAGGTCAAAGTGACCTCTACCCTCATAGTAGACCTACAGGAAAAGAGAATGTTGTAATAACCCCCTTATTCATTGTTGTTCTTCACTGGGAAATGGAAACCAGTGGCCGAGAACTCCCTATGCCTCCAGCTATTAGCTCTATGTTCAAACCTGTGTGATACAGGGTTCTTAGTTAGGGTTACTAACTGCTGTGATGAAACCATAACCATTGGGAGGAAAGGGTTTATTTAGCTTATGCTTCTACATCATAGTCATCATCAAAGGCACTCAGGACTGGAACTCAAACGGGGCAGGAAACTGAGGCAGGATCTGATGCAGACACCAGGGAGGGTGCTGCTTCCTGGCTGGCTCCCCATCACTTGCTCAGCCTGCTTTCTTATAGAACCCAGGACCACCAGCCAAGGGGAGACCCCATTCATAATGGGCTGGGCTCCCACACCCGTCAATCACTAACTAAACAAATGCTGTTAGCCAGATCTTACGGAGGCATTTTCTCAATTATGACTCACTCCATTCTCTCTGATGACTCTAGCTTGTTTCAAGTTGATATAAAACTAGCCAGTACAAGGGTATGCATTTTTCATCTCTCCTTCTGGGGTGGAAAATGTCCCCCTCTGAAGTGCCTCACCTCTGCTCTTCTTCAGGACCCTTCTTCTTCATGATTCCTCTGTCACCTAAACCATCTGTCCCTCCCATTTTAAAGTTTAATCCTGAGCCTGCAATCCCAATACTCTGGGGGGGGGGCTGAGGCAGGAAAATTGTGAGTTGGAGGCCAACTTCCAACTACATAGTAAAACCTGTCTCAAAAAGATAAAAAAGTTCATTACCACCAATACACAGATCTGTTAGATCATCTCATTTTCACAAAGCTTCCACTGTTACCCAAACCCCTTTTGAATCTATGGCTTCATTGTCAATAAAATGTCTCTCAACTCTCTCCATGCCGCCGTGTCCCCACAGAGTGTTGAGTTTGCTCAATCTGGCTCACGAGACCTCCTGACCAAAATTGCTCTCCATTCTCAATCACCCTAAACCCAGGGGTGGGATTCTGGTGTTGTCTTGGCCTTTCTGTCATAACTGGCATATATATATGTACACACACACACACACACACACACACACACACACACACACACACACACACACGGGATTTATTAGAATGGCTTACAGGTTGTGGTCCTTCTAGTCCAGCAGTGGCCATCTAACTGAGTCTGCATGTCCTATCTGGTTTTTAGTATGCACTAGAATATCAAATAAGTAGGCTCTAACCCCAATGAAGGAATGGACTTTCCAGGAGAGTAGGACGAGAAGAAGCAGGCAAAGATTGAGCTCTCATCTTCCATGTCATTTACATTTCCATGCCAGTGGAAAGCATGGCCCAGATTAAAGGTATATCTTCCCACCAGGAAGGATCTGGATTAAACTTGGTTCTTCCCACTCAAATTGTTTAATCCCTGGAGCCATGCTGCAGGCTTGGATTTATGGCAGAACAGACGCCAGTGGATTGACTTCTGTGCTGTGAGCGCTGCTCTAGGGATTGGGAGGAGAGCATGGAGGAGCACGGAAGCCACAGCATGGGTGCAGTGACCTGTAATGATGTGCTCACCAACTTCCCTCAGGAAGAGTGGGCTTTGCTGTATCCTTCCGAGAAGAGTCTCTACAAAGATGTGATGCTGGACACCTACGGGAACCTCAACGTCATAGGGTGCAGCTGGGAAGGCCATAATATTGAAGAGAATTGTCAAACTTCTAGAAGCCACAGAAGGGAGATGCCCCACCTGTACCCACTGGAAGAAGAAATGGGAAGATGACAGTACAAGAACACATCCCATAGCCGGGCGTTGGTGGCGCACGCCTTTATTCCCAGCACTCCGGAGGCAGAGGCAGGCGGATCTCTGTGAGTTCGAGGCAAGCCTGGTCTCCAGAGTGAGTGCCAGGATAGGCTCCAAAGCTACACAGAGAAACCCCGTCTCAAAAAGCCAAAAAAAAAAAAAAAAAACCAAAAAAACAAAAAAAGAACACATCCCACAACAGAAAGACTTCTATGACACCATCAGAGTCTAGGCATTCTACACCAGCAAGACCTGAGCATCCCATCGAATATGAATCAAAAGAGAATCACCTTAAAAACAACTTCATGAAAATGCTAGAGGCCTTCAAAGAGGATATGAGGAAATCTCTTAAAGAAATGGAAGAAAACTGTCATTGGTGTTTTTGACTTTAGCCATTCTGACAGGAGTAAGGTGGTATCTCCTTACTTACTCTTAGTTCTGATTTGCATTTCCCTGATGGCGGAGGGTGTTCAGAACTTTCTTATGTGTCTTGCAGCCATTTTAGATTCCCCTATTGAGAATTATCTATTTAGTTCTGTACCCCGCTTTTTAATTGGATTATTTGGTGTTTTGGAAACTAGCTTGTTGAGGTCTTTGTAAATTTTGGAGATCAGCCCTCTGTCAGATGTGGGGTTGGTGAATGTCTTTTTCCATTCTGTGAGCTGCCATTTTGTGTTGTTGACTGTGTCCTTTGCCTTACAGAAGCTCCTCAGTTTCAAGAGGTCCCAATTATTAATTGATGATCTCAGTGTATGAACTACTGGTGTTATGTTCAGGACGTGGTCTTCTGTACCAATTCGTTCAAAGGTACGTCCCACTTTCTCTTCTAATAGGTTCGGTGTGGCTAGATTTATGTTGAGGACTTTGATCCATTTGGACTTAAGTTTTGTGCATGTTTTCTACATGCCAGCATCCATTTGTTGAAGACGCTTTCTTTATTCTATTGTATAATTTTAGCTTCTTTGTCAAAATCAGGTGTTCATAGGTATGTGCGTTAATATCAGGGTCACAGAAGAAACCAATTTTCCTTGTTAATTTTGCTGTAATGAACTCTTTGGATCCTAAAAAAAAAAGAAAAAAAAGAGAAAAAATCCCTCATGGGTGTCCTCAGCCCCCTGGGTTTTAATTAACCCCAGATATAGTCAAGAATAACCATCACAAGCTCACCCTTGTCAACTTGACACACAACCATATTTCCTTATGTCATGCTTAATTTCCAAATGCAAATAATAATTAAACCATAATTTTATCTACCATTATGTAACTATCCCATATATAATCATAAACACATTATACATTTTAGAGTTGGTGGCAATGTCCCTTGAGGGACATTTTTTTTTAGTATCTCAAAATTTAAATATGTTTCGCCACTTACTCTCTTAATTGAAAAAAAACACAAATATCTATACAAACATATTAACAAAATATGTTATGACAGTTACAACTCTCATTTCATTTCTCTTCTCCTCCTCCTCCTCCTCTTCCTCCTCCTCCTCCTCCTCCTTCTTCTTCTTTTTGAGACAGGGTTTCTTTGTGGCTTTGGAGCCTGTCCTGGAATTAGCTCGTGTAGACCAGGCTGGTCTTGAACTCACAGAGATCCACCTGCCTCTGCCACCCAAACTTAGGCTTAAAGGAGTGCATCACCACCTCCTGGCTTATAACTCTCGTTTCTGCAACTACTCACACGGCCTCAGCCAGTGTTTATAACTACCTTCTTCTACCCACTCAGTGTTTCCTCTACCATTACCCCATACATGTAAAATCCATTCCCACACATGTTCCCAGACTTCTGCTTGAATGGATTAGCAGACTCCTCAAGCTCTTCAGTAGTGTAGCACATCTCCTCAAGGACTACACTCTCTACCTTCCCTCTAGGACCCTGCTTAGCCTTCATTCTGATTATAGGTCTAGAGACAACTATTGGTGTGTCCTGATGGACGTCCATATTGTCAGGCCTGGCATCTCCTTCAGGGAACAGTCACTGCCGGTTTAGCAGACAATGAAGGTTCACTTTCTCAGTCAGAGGTGGAAAAGGTCCCAATACAGGGGGTGGGGGTGTAAGTACATCTTCTGCTGAGGGTGTCGAGACCACTTCCTCAGAGGTAGGAGGCCCTTGAGAATCTGAGGGTTCCAAGTTTTCAGCACACGTGGGGTCCTCCCACACACTGCATTCCAACTTACAGGGTCCCATTCTTTACCAGTCCATGCCCTCCCTTTAACTGCTGATACCCTCCCAGGCTGGGACTCGAATTTTCTTTGTAATTCAGCCAGCTTTATAATGAAGGCTTTGGTTTGATTTCCCACAGCTTGAGCTCTGGGCTGCAGATTCTCTTCCGGGACACTCTTAGAAACCTTGAGACTGTTCATGCCCATCTGGAGCCAGTCAGTTTTATCCCTAGTTCATTATTGTCTTTCACCATATTCTGAGATGCTAGAAGCTGGTTAATTCATCACAGAGCTCATTCTTTTTTCCTTTGCCAGTATATCCAGAGATGCCAGAAGCAACCAACCAGCATAGTCATTTTCCCTATTTTCCATAAATTGCCAAAAGTTTTATATGCAGGGTCACCAAACCTGCTGCCTCTCAAAATTGGTAAATCAGGATAATCAAATGCATTTGTCTCCCTAAGTTTATAAAATAGTTCACACCGTGGGCTTTCTGCACTCTCTGAGCGTCTAGGGGAGGCTTCAGTAACTGGAGAGGCTTCAGTAACTGTAGGTGTTGGCAAATTGCAAAACCTGTTCCAGATACTTAAAAAAAAATCATCCTGTATTTCCACTGCTCTAGAACAAGAGGGCGGCAAAAGGAAAAATGTTCTGGGAAATGGGGTGGAAAACGGCCCCCCTCTGAAGCGCCTCACCTCTGCTCTTCTTCAGGACCTTTCTTCAGGATCCCTCTGTCACCCGAATCATCCGTCCTTTCCAATTTAAAGTTTTTTTCCTGAGCCTGTAATCCCAGAACTCTGGGTGCTGAGGCAGGAGGATTGTGACTTGAAGGCCTGCCTCAGCTACATATTAAGACCCTGTCTCAGAAAAGAAAAATGTTCGTTACCGCCAGAATACAAATCTTTTAGATGATTCCATCTTCACGAAGACGCTACTGTTCTAGAACCCCATTTAACCTGTAGCCTCGTCGTCAGTAAAATAACTCCCCCTGATAGCCCAGGGTTCCCACAGCTCAGTCTGGCTCACAATACTTCCTGACCCAAACTGTTCTTCGTTCTCGGTCACCCTAAACCCAGGGTGGATTTCTGGCGTAGTGTTGGCCTTTCTGTCATAACTGGCATGTCGTAACTGTCATAGCAGCCTCTTTAGCAAGACTCTCTCTCCTCTCCTGATTTTCATGACATCAGTATAGATGGTAGTTACTTTACCTGTTCCTGTGAGGAAAAAATACCCTATGAGACACAATTTACACAGAGAATGGTGTGTTTCTCCTTAGAGTTCAAGAAGATAGGGTTCATTGTGGAGGGGAAGGCATGGTGTCCTGAGAGGGAGATGTCTGGTCACATCGTGTCTGTTGTTTGGAAGGAGGGTCTGAGCAGGAAGTGGGGCCAGGTGGCACCTCAAAGTGTGCCACCAGTAGCAGACTTCCTGAAGTGAGGTGCCATCTCTGACGGGTTCTACAGCTTTCCTGAACACCAGCTGGGCATGAGTGTTCAAACACAAGCCTGCAGGGCTCATTCACATTCAGACCACAGCAGCATCATGCTCTCTTGGATTTATTCTGTCTCCCTGCTTTTTTTAAAGTCACAATTTGACTAGTTCTTCTTTCTGGACAGGACCTCTGAAGACTTAAGAGCCCCAAGGCCTTGTTTTGGGATCTCATCTTTTCCACCTTCCTTTTTCCTCCTTCCTTTCTCTCCAGTCTCATCCATGAAGATTGTCTCCCCTGAACTCTCCCATGGCATAAATATCACTCCTGTAATGATGCCTCTTAACTGGAACAGCATTTAAGAATTTTCTTCATGGAACCCATGTTGTGTTACCCAACTATCAGTTTGACATCTCCATCAGAGCGTCTCGTTGGAATCTTAAATTTAGCATTTCTAAAAGAAAACTTAATTCCCTGCTGTACCCAACTGCCAGCTGGCTCCAATCCTCCTTCTATGTCCCTAATTCAAGGAATGCCATTATCATCCCTCTAGCTGCTTCTACAGAACTCCTGAGTCATCCTGGAGTGCTGCTTTCCCTCAGCTCCGTCTCTAACTCATCCATAGGCTCCATCAGGCTGATCTTCGGTGGGAGTACCAAGTCACTTATTTGTCTTTTAAATGAAAGACAGCTTGATATTTATCTTGAAATAGAATAATGTATGTAGAAATATAGGTTGTGTGTGTGTGTGTGTGTGTGTGTGTGTTTGTATTTACATATGCACGTGTGTGTCATTTTTCTGGACTTCTGTAGCCACAGTGGAGAGTAGGACAGACTGTCTGTTCCCCCAAACCCAGAAGTTGTGTTCTAGATAGATATGTAATACAGAATTTGGTGTCACACCCAAGAAATAACTTTTAAACCATTGAACTTTCTGTGGGATTGGAATGTTTTTGTCATTCACTGCTATGTCTTGGATCTGGAGTAGCACCCAAATGCACTTGTATTAAAGACTTTATAGGCATCTCAGGGTGCTACTGGGAGGTCTTGGAATTTTAAGAGAAGGGCCTTAATGGGAGAAGGTTAGGTCATTGGGATTGTGCTCCTGAACCAGATTATGGGACTTTAGTTTCTTCCAATCTCTCTCTTTGTGTCTCAGTTAGGGTTTCTATTGCTGTGAAGAGACACCATGACCACAGCTACTCTTATAACAGTAAATGTTTAATTGGGCTGGCTTACAGGTTCAGAGGTTCAGTCTGTTATCACCATGTCAGGAAGCATGGCAGCATGTGGGTAGACATATGCTGGAGAAGCAGCTCAGAGTTCTCCACCTAGACTGGCAAGGCAACAGGAAGAGAGAGTGAACCATTAGATCTGGCTTGAGC